AATAAAAAAATCCCGATTTTCGACTAAGAAAAAATATCGTAGTATGCCCTGAAAATTGGAATTAAAATTTCAAATTTTGTAGACCTTTTAGTACTTGACATTTCAAAAAAAATTATTTAAATCGGCTTACAACTTCAAATCTTAGGGGAGTGCTTCCATTAAAAATTGGTCACACATATTACACCATCAGAAAGTAGAGATTTCAACGAACAAAAAGCCCATCATAATTTTTTTTTAACAAGCAGATATTTTGATGAGAGAATTTTCGATTAGGAATCTTGGCTCTACTTTCCAAAGTTTTCGAGTGTTTTTTTTTTTCAATTTTCAAATCATAATCAATCTTCTAGGTTTGCGGTTTCTCGAACCATCAATAAGGATTCTATAGAACCAAAAATAAAAGATGAGCCTGATCTAATCCCAAAATTCAACAAGAGTCCCGATAAAAAAGAGAAGAAGTTGCTGGAACGCAGTACGTACAAAATGCAAGAAGTCCAGGATATATTCAAGTGCGATTTCTGCTTCAAGGTTTTCTTAGACGAAACCACATTGTTGAGTCATAAGAAAGATCACAAATATACTTTCAAGTGCAACGAATGCGACAAATGTTTTAAGGACTATTTTACTCGTATGACTCATGAAGAGACGCATTTGAAAAAGAGGCCGTATATTTGTAAAATTTGTAACGATGGTTTCTTTTTGCAAGCGGCATTCCAAAGACATCTATCGAATCATACAGGTGAAAAACTTTATGAGTGCTATAGATGCAAGAAGAAGTTTATTATGATTTGTCAACTGGACAGTCATAGGCAAAAGTGCAAGGGGCTGAGAGATCCTGGAACAACCTAGAGTGCCTTGTATTGTATAGTATTGTCATCTCAGTTGAAATGTCAATAAGGAATGCACTCTGGATCTACCTGCCCAATTATCAATTCCTAATATGATATCGATCTGTTACTGTTATTTTATTGTTTCCAACCAATAAAGTCTTGTGTTCATCAATGATCGTTTTAGCTGTTTAGTAGACGGAGAAAGCTTTCGTTTATTACAAATAATATCTAGTTTCAGTTTGATAATTTATTTTCTAGGTTTGTAGATCCATCAGTAGCATCAAGCTCAGTTTTGGAACAAAAATACCTGATTGAGAAACAGACATTATTTGAGATCCAAGATAAAGAAATGCGGAAAATATTGAGATGCAATACGTGTTTCAAGGTTTTCTTGGACAGAAAAAAATTTTCGAGGCACAAACGTATCCATAGAACCAAGAGCGAACCTTGTTCAATTTGTGGAAAAATTCTAAAGGGTAAATCTAATTTGAAGGTGCATATGGCTAATACTCATTCAGACCAAACATGTATCCACAAATGTGAGGTTTGCGATAAAGAACTAAAGAGATCTCAGATCAAGAGACACATGGATTTCATTCATTTGAAGAAAAAACTTCCCTATCATTGTGATATATGTGAGAAAGGATTCCAAGATCGAAAAATCTTGGCCAATCACATACTAACCAACCACGAGAATGAACGTCACAAATGTTCGCATTGTGGTAAAGCTTTCAAAGATCTCAGGCATTATCAGAACCACCTCTATACCCACGAACCCGGTTACAAGAAACCAGTCTATCCTTGTACCAAATGCGATACTCGGTTCACGTCGAAGAGTGGGCTAGCCTCTCACTTGAGGAGAAACCACGAAATGAATTCCAACATCGTCTGCGACATCTGTGGCAAGACTTTCACGACTAAAGGAGGCTTCCAACAGCACAAACGCGTTCATACTGGCGAAAAACCCTACAAGTGCGAAGAATGTGGTGAATGTTTCAGGAAAGGTGGTACTCTAGCCTCTCACAGGAGGACACACACCAAAGAAAGACCTTTCGTTTGTAGGATATGTGGAAAAGGCTTCACCCAGCAAACAGCGTTGAAGAGACATATTTCTGGGCATACTGGGGATAAAGAGTACGAGTGTCCTGTATGTAAGAGAACATATGCCCAAAGGTATCAGCTGAAAATTCATAATTGTCATGGACCACCAAACAATTGTTGAATTCTCGATATAACTATAGATATTGAATTTAATAAAATGTATATATCAACGATGCCTTTCGATGTGTCAACCAGTAGCAGGAAACCTCGTTTCCATGAATGAGAAAGACTCAAATCTATACTGTCAATCACCTAAGAATGACTCATCTGGAAATGTACTCATTGCTCATTTGAATTCGTATAAACACATAAATAAAAGCCTGATTGTCAACCCATATGTACAAGAATTATTTAGTAATATGACCCAGATTGATTTGGTTGTGTCTATTTCAGTCTCGCATGTATCTTTCTTTAAAATGTTTGACCTAGACAAAAGTTCTTGACTTCATTTCTATGGAACAGAAATAACTTGACTGAACTTGATAATTCAATTGCTCCTGAGTTCAGGATGTAGTTGATGGTGTCTCACAGGGTTCGACTCTGGGCCTCTTCCAATTTTTCATATATCAACGACCTTCCTCACTACGTCACCACGATAATCGTCTATTATTTTGTTGATTCAACTCCAAGTGCCAACACAAGGATATGAATGACTCACTGCTTTATTGGTCAAATGAGTGGTTTAAAAGAAAATCCATCATATATTTTCCACTGTGACTTTAAAGGTATGCATTCTACCTCTAGTCGTATCACATAATTTTGATCGACGTATAGGAATTTTTTCGCCTTGTGAAGTTCTATGCATAGATCCAAACGTTGATTTTTTCTTTTAGGCTTTTAGGTTGTCAACTAACTAATGAGGAGTCCTCAGTCCCAGCAGAAAAACTCCAATCCAATGTTAATTTCACCTGTACCACGTGCAAGAAAATTTTCGAGCATAGTGACCAGCTCGAGAGGCACAAAAAATATAAAAAACACGACCTCGAAATTGAGACGACCTTCACATGCGACGTCTGCCTGAAAAAATTCAGCGACAGGAAAGCAATGACCAGGCACAAGAGAATTCACGCGACACAAAGCGAACCCTGTAAAACTTGCGGTAAATTACTGAAGGGCAAAACATCTATGAAGATTCATATCGCCACCCAGCATTCAGGCAGAACAAGTGTCTATGAATGTAAGATTTGTGGTAAGAAACTGTGCTCGAAATTTTACTTAGAGTGTCACATGAACACGGTCCATCTGAAGAAATTCCCTTTCTATTGTGGAATCTGCAACAAGGGCTTCATCGACCCGAAACTGATGGCCAATCACCAACAAACTGATCATGAGAACAAACGGCACGAATGCTGGCAATGCGGGAAGATCTGCAAAGATATCAGACTGTTCGAAAAGCACTTATCTACCCACCAGCCAGACTACAAGAAGCCTGTTTTCCCTTGCAGCAAATGTGACGCTAAGTACCACTCCACGGCAGGGCTGTCTCTTCATCTGAAGAAGCACGAAAACAATTGCACCGCGGTGTGTGACGTGTGCGGGAAGTCGCTCCAGTCAGAGAAAGGTTTGAGAGAGCACATGCGCACTCATACCGGAGAAAGACCTTACAGGTGCGACGAATGCGGCGAGAGCTTCAGCAAGTCTGGTACTCTAGTGACGCATAAAAGGACGCACTCCAAAGAAAGACCGTTCGTTTGCGGAATCTGCCCGAAAGGGTTCACCCAGCAGTCTGCCTTGAAGAGGCACGTCTTGGGTCACTCGGGGGAAAGACCGCACAGCTGCCTCGTTTGCCAGAAGATGTACGTTACGAAGCACCAGTTGAGGGCACACAATTGCCAGGGACCACCTGTTGGTCCCTGAGTGACAGGTGATCGATCACCTGTTGCTCTTCAAGTTGCTGTGATAGGGTGATATATTATTCTCTTTTACAACTCGCGAACACTAAACGCGGCAATTGAAACTTTGATCCTCAATATTTATACAACGGTAACATTCTGGAGAGAACTACAGCTCTGCGTTCCGGTTCTTTACGATGAAATGGGTTGAAACTAGTGGAACCAAGATAGTGATCACGATTCCATTTCACCGTCTATTAATGTGATAACTGCGTGCTGATTGAATTGGAATCATTCAAGAATGGTTGTCATTAGTAAATATACAAGTTTCAGAAGCAATACATACTCTGAGTCATCGTCACAAATTTATAAGTACACATCAGGAACATCTGAACATGTTTCGAGCTATCAATAGTCCATCATCTGCAACATTATAAAAGAAGTATCTACAAAGACAAATGTTTTTTATTGGACTATGAAATTGACCAAAGTAATCTACTCACGTGGAAGTGAGAGAAATGCACCCGCAATGTTACAATTTGAAAGTTAGAAGAAAAAAATGGGGCCATGATTATCAACAGTGTCAAGGCACCATGGTAGAACAGCAAGAGGGAGTGACATGGAATTTATGGAGTGCGTATCAGTTGACAATTGACACAAAACAATACTATCTCATGAAACAATGAGTCTCCACCTTATAGAAACAATTTTCAACAATTTTTTTTTTGGGATATTTGAAATTAATCAATGAATTGAAGATTGCATTATATCCTTGAACGAACAAACACATTTTGACTGTCTCTCAAATTTTGAATTTTGTTAGTGCTGCTCTACAGTCGTCTGACACTTATTGTTTCATGCGATAGTATTGTTTTGTGTCACTTGTCAATTGATACGTACTTCATACATTCTATGTCACTTGTCACTCCCTCTTGGTGCCTTGACACTGTTAATAATCATGGGCTTCATTTTTCCGATATTCTCCTAGATGACCAGGTTTTCATTACTGTCGATTTGTGAAATTGCGGTTGCCTTGTGTCTTGTTTCTGAAACTGATTCACTCCACTTCGAAAAAATTAGGACTTCTGCCATATATTAAATAATCAAGTGAATTATATGACCTATTTTGTTTTATTCCATTGTTTGTTGGTATGTAGAAGTTATTGCCTACTTTAAATATATAACTTTGAAATTTAAACGTGTTTTCGTTTGCAGATTTGTGAATGAACCAACAACGGATATGAACGAGGATTCCTCATTAATGAAGGTGGAAAATATTCTTCAATGCAAGATTTGCGATAGAGTTTTTGATGACTATGACAAATTCAAAAATCATGAAAAATATGAAAAATATGAGAGCGTTACCAGGAAATGTGATATATGTGGAAAAATAATGAAAACCAAAACCTCAATGAGACAACATATGATAAATAAACATTCAGACAAAACATGTAAATATAAATGTGATATTTGTGGTAAAGAACTGAAGAATAAGCAGATTCTAGAAGGTCACGTGCAAGCAATCCACTTTAAAAAATATCGCCATCATTGCGACATATGCCTCAAAGGTTTCAACGATAAAAAACAATTAGCAAATCACAAACTAGTTTACCACGAAAATAAAAGCTATGCATGTTCAACATGTGGCAAGATCTTCAAGCTCATCTTCACCTTCGAAGAACACCTGCTTTCTCACGAACCCGGTTACCAGAGGCCTGTTTTTCCTTGCACCAAATGCGACCTCAGGTACAACTCAAGGTCAGGCTTGCGAAGGCACAAAAAAACCCACGAAGACAACGGCACCAGCATTTGCCACATCTGTGGAAACACCTTCAAGTCCCTAGGATCGCACATGCGTACTCACACTGATGAAAGACCTTTCAAGTGCAAGGAATGTGGCTTGTGCTTCAGGAAAAGTGATACGCTCAGTACTCACAAGAGGACGCATACCAATGAGAGGCCGTTTGTTTGCAGCATTTGCGAGAAAGGCTTCACTCAGAAGTCGGCGTTGACCAGACACGTTTCAGGGCATACTGGTGAGAGACAGCACAGTTGCACTGTGTGCAAGAAGAAGTATGTCATGAAGTATCAGCTCAAAGTGCACAATTGCCAAGGACCGCCGGATGAAGATTCAGAGGAATCAGATGAGGCCTGAATACTCAGAAGTAGAGATGACAAACTATCGATGATAGTGTCAATAGTGCACTGAAAAAAATCTAACGATACTATCATATTATATCGAAGACTGGACCCTCTGGCACGATAATCCACTACACCGTTACACCACTAACAATACCTATTTTTTTCAACGCCTGGACACCTGTCTTGCAAACTATGTTAGCATCTTCAGGAGAAGATTTTTAATCTTTTCCATACATAGTGTAACAGGTATTGAGGCATTCAAAGAATCGGTTTGGTTAGTAGAGATAAGGGTCCCTTGATGCAAACTGACGTATTTGTCATCTAACAGGGTACGGACAAATCATAGCTCCGTTCTCTTTTAGTCATCTAGTGACTTTGGTTTCGTGTATTGGCGTCCCTGACATGACATTGCTGTCACGTCACATTCATAGGCGTTAAAAGAGATCTTACAAAATTTTAATTTCATACTTGATCTTATTACGACATTATTCAATTCTGTTTTGGAAGTATGGTAAAATGTGCTGCGTTAGTTTGTATCAATCAGTTGGATGGCAAACTTAGAACATGGAAAGTGAAGTGACCGAATGGGGAAAATTGGTAAATACTTCATCAAAATATTCGAGGTGAAACTAATACGAAATTACATATTATACTTTCTCATTGTGTCTATAATTATACACTCCATAAGTTTTTGGATGCATTTTAGTAGGAACAGTTTTGATTAAAACGGAGGATTAAAAGAAGAGGCAAATGCCCTACCATTCAAAAAATTATACCTACATTCAGGAAATATCAAGTGTTCGTGAAAAACTGCAAAAATTATTCCCAACATGAATATATACAGCACACATGACATATGAGAACATTAGTTTGAATACCTACATAACATTTTTCACCATTGCTCAACCATGAGGCTTAGTATGAAATCAAAATTCATTTATTGATAGGTAGTGCCGAAGAACAGTCCCGTATGGTAAAACTTTCAGAAAAATTTGCTCACTGCCTCAGAAAGATTATGCTGGAATTGAAAAATCAAAAACTACGTATGCTACGCCACTGTCGTCAATATAACCTAAGAGACAACAAATGTCAGAAATCTAGTGTTAATCCCCAGAAATGAATAAAGATGGAATTATATAACTGTTTCACAAATACGTTAGAGTGAAAGGAGACGAGGATCTGTCCGCACCCTATTAAGATGACAAATACGTCAATTTACATCAAGGGACCCTAGTAGAGATGACAAACTATTGATAGTGTCAATAGTGCACTGAAAAAAAATCTAACGATACTATCATATATCGAAGATTGGAACTTTTGGTACGATCATCACTACACCGTTACATTACTGACAAATCCTATTTTTTATACGCCTGGACACCTGTTTCACTAACTATGTTCAGAAGAGAAAAATCTTTTCCTGAAGATGCTAACATAGTTAACGAGTCACGTGTCGAGGCGTTAAGAAATCGGTTTGGTTAGTCGTAAAACATGTGCAATGACACTTTTTTGTAAATTTTATGAATTCTTCAGGCGATTGGTTATAGTAATTCATATAATTGAATATGATTTTGTGGAGAAACGTTTGAAGTTGGTTGAACAATATCAAATATCCTTGGTGCTGTCATTTCGAAATATTCCTTCCAGAGGACAATTTTAGCACAAATGAAACATAAGCACTCAATACTCAGTTATGGGCTTTTCATGACATTACAGTTGATACATTAGGGTATCTATCGTGCTTGCTCTTACGAGAATATTGAAGGAAGACGTTGGGTGACAAGCCTCTCGAAGCAAGGGCAGTCGAGTTGAATCTGCAACTAAATATTTTTTTCATTGATCGATGTCATTAATGAAAATAATGAATAATAAAGGTCCAAGATTTGACCCTTGGGGCACCTCCGAGGTAACTTTAATTGGGTAAGAGTTAAATCCATTGATACTAATGATCTGAGACCTATTGAATATGTAAGATGAAAACCATCGTAATATATCATAGTTTAATAACATCGCATTATGAGCAATGGATCAACTTTGAATTCCACAGTGGCGTAACAAGAAGTGTACCTTGGGAGAGGGATATAATATTTTTTTCAAAACACAATTTTATTTATGATTAATAAATCTATAACTGTATCATGACCTCTTGTATTTTTTGTAGATTTTAATATAGGCTAGAATATATTTTCTGTACATTCAGTTTTTTAGTGAGCAACGAATATCTATTAAAATCAAGAGAAATTTCAATAAATTATCGTCTTTAATGAACACACGTTGACGTTACATATTATGCAAATAATGTGTGAATAAAAAATCAAAATCATGCATGCAGCTCTTTAACTGCCTCCTTTGCTTTTTTCCAGTTATCCATTTTGTCATTTACTTATTTTCCTAATACTTGTCCTCCGATTCCACCAGTTGTAGCAGAGGAACATACCTACAATATTTACAAAAAGCGTATTTTTTTGCCGAATAACAAAGCCAATTCAATTCTGTCAGCCATTCATGTTGAAACTCAAGTTGAAACTCAAGTTGAACCTCTTAATATATAAATAAATTACCATTACTTGAGGGAAATCCATGGCAAATGAAAAAACTTCACCAACGATATGATTTCCATGAAATTGTCAAACACACGGCATGTTTCGCTAACACAGTAGCTTCGTCAGGTGATATACTGGTACAATGAATCAAACAGTTTAGTTCAGATTCGCGATGTGTGAAAAAAATTGCTGTGATTGGTTTGGTTTCTGAATCATAAATAATAAAAACCATTTTACGTCCGTACCTCAAAACATGAAACTTATTGCCTAATTCATATCAAATTTGTGTTCTGTCGTTCGCCACAAGGACCCGTGTGTTATTTTATAATACTCATTTCTTAAATTATGAAACTTGACACAAATAACATAAAACTCCAATTGTATCGCAGCCTTGAGGGATAAAAGTTGGTCATCATTTAGTGAATACCCAGATAGCACAATGTCATTCATAAAATGTCTTCCAACAAGTGTTTGCACTTTTTCACCGTACTGAAGAGGGCCGAAAGCTCGAAACACGTGTCTGCCATCAACTCTTTATAGGTATCAATGTTTTTCGTGTTCATAATATATCTGAAAATATTCCTTTTCAACACCTTAATATTGTTCATAACTTTGCCATCTCTCTAGAAATCACACCTTCATTGATAGTTTGTCAACTGAGAAAGGACAAATTATTAGTTAGGAGTAGAAACAAATCAATGTTTCACACATAAGTGAAGGAGATATTATCTCTTAATCTCTTGAGCTTCAGTATCGCCCTCATATGTAGTGAAAGAATTGATAAAAATGGTATCTCAAATGAAATTGAAATTGAATCAATTCTGCTAATCCTATTATTTTTTCCATCGAAGATATCAGTCAAATATCTAATGTTTTCTTATCGTTATCGAAATCTAAAGGTTGGTTTGAATTTTCAGGTTTTTTAATGAACCTACAATAATTTTGAGCGAAGATTCTTCATTATCGATAGGAGAAAATAATTTTCAATGCAAGACGTGCAATAGAGTTTTTGATAGCTATGACAAATTCAAGAAGCATGAAAAATATGAGAAATATGAGAGGATCAGCATAAAATGTGAAATCTGTGGAAAATCGATGAAAACGAAATCATCAGTGAGACAACACATGATCAATAAACATAAAGAGAAAACATGCATCTACAAATGTGAGATTTGTTGCAAACAACTGACCAGTAAGATAGTTTTGGAAGCCCACATAAATGCAGTCCACTTCAAAAAATACCCCTTCCATTGCGAGATCTGCTCTAAAGGTTTCCAAGATAAGAAACAACTAGCAAACCACAAACTAACTGACCATGAAAATAAAAGACACGAATGTCCAACATGTGGCAAGATCTTCAAGCTCATCCTCACCTTCAAAGACCACTTGCTTTCCCATGCCCCCGATTACAAGAAGCCTATATTCCCTTGCACCAAATGCCACCTCAAGTACAGCTCGAGGTCAGGCTTGCGAATGCACAAAAAATTGCACGAAACCGATTTCACCGCCATCTGCGACATCTGCGGGAAGTCGCTGGCATCTCGCGATCGACTTAAGGCGCACATGCGTACTCATACCGGCGAGAGGCCTTTTAAGTGCGAAGAGTGTGACATGCGCTTTAAGGCATCTAGTACGCTTATCACTCATAGAAGAACGCACACTAATGAGAGGCCGTTCGTTTGTACGATTTGTGAGAAAGGCTTCACTCAGAAATCGGCGTTGACGAGGCACCTCGCTGGGCATACTGGGGAGAAACACTTCCAGTGTACCGTGTGCAGCAAAAAGTATGCGATGAAGTATCAGCTGAAGGTGCACAATTGTCAAGGACCAGCTGATGATTTGAATGAATCAGATGAATCAGAGGAGACTTGAGTAGGTACTTAGTTCACAACTTGGAGAACACCACAGGAAAAAAATATTTTTCAATGAATAAAGGATATTTCGATAGTTCATGGCTCTTAGTGTTTTCATTTTATAAATATATACCTACTTCCTGAGTTTTTCTTAATCTTCCACGGACGTTGTGATATTCGGAATGCGAACTTTCAAACTCTTGAGAGTCTTAATAAAAAAGGATTTGAATAAAAGAGGGAGATATGTACAATAAGATAATGGCTTCAAAGAAGATATATTGGTAGAGTAGTAGATTTCAAAACTATACCCAAGAATGGATGGAAGATGTTTCAGATTTTTAAACGTATACCTGCAGAAATCAGGTGAGATCATAACAAAGTCTTTAGTCAACCAAGCATTAATTTGGGATTGGAGCAAGACAAAAATATTCCTTTATCTATCCGAAATGGTCCTCATCAGTTTCAATTACAGGCATTTTTGAAGTATTGATAATAATTAATAATAATATGATAGTATTTTCTTGTTAATTCTCAAAATATAAAATAATTATCAATGAATAAGAAAACATGAAAACAAACATCCTAACCTTATTGTTTGATCCAACATGACAAATATT